TAGTAAGTCAATTTATGCATTCATCGAGTGAAGATCATATGGCTGCTGTTATGCGTATCTTAGCTTATTTGAAGTCTGCACCTGGAAAAGGAGTTCTCTATCGGAAGCATGGACATTTAAGGATTGAGGGGTTCACGGATGCTGATTGGGCAGGAAGTGTAGGTGACAGACGGTCTACTTCGGGATATTTTACTTTTGTAGGAGGCAATTTAGTCACATGGAGAAGTAAAAAACAGAAGGTAGTATCAAGATCCTCAGCTGAAGCCGAGTTTCGAGGGATGGCTCACGGCATTTGTGAGCTTCTCTGGCTTCGAAAACTTCTTGAAGGGCTTGGGTTCAAGCCAAAGGAGACCATGAGACTATACTGTGATAATAAGTCAGCGAGAGATATAGCTGATAATCCGGTACAGCATGATAGAACAAAACATGTGGAAGTTGATCGGCATTTTATTAAAGAGAAACTTGAAAGGAAGATTGTATCGATCCCGTTTGTGAGTTCAGATGAGCAACTTGCAGATGTTCTAACTCATGCAGTATGTAGTCGAGAGTTTGATGACTCACTTGTCAAGTTGGGCATGTGTGATATCTATGCACCAACTTGAGGGGGAGTGTTGATCATGAGTCAATATTAGGAAAAAGGAATGTAAATAATAGGAGTCCTTTTTAAGTAGGTTTGTATTAAAACTTTTGTTTCCTTGTGGAACTTAGATTGTACATGTATATATTTCAGAATAAGTAATACAAGATTTATTCCGTAAAAGTTCTATTACTTTAATTGAGGGGACTTACGCTCAACAATATGAAAAGTTATGGGAGTACTGCGAGGAGGTTAGAAAGACAAATATAGGCAACACTATGATGATGAAGGTGGTTCCTCCTTATTTTCAAAGACTTTATGTGTGCTTGGATGCATGCAAACATGGGTTTGTATCTGGTTGCAGACCTTTGATAGGCGTAGATGGCTGCCACCTTAAGGGAAGATTCCAAGGTAAATAATTAATTTGTAGTTTATTTCGCATCAACTCATGGAGACGTGGTACTAATTTAATATAACATATATATATATATATATATATATCTATATGTGCATATTAATTCGATACCTTGGTAGGGCAATTACTTGTGGCAGTGTGAATTGATGCAAATGATAATATGTATCACATTGCTTATGCGGTTGCTGAATTGGAGACTAAAGAGTCATGGTGTTGGTTTTCAACTTTTGATTGAGGATCTTGGTTCAGTAGTGAACATGGGTGGACCTTTATTTCAGATCAACAAAAGGTAATTATTTGCTTTAATTTCTTTGCTATAATAATATTGAGATGTTAAGAAAAAACTTTATATCATTTATTGGTGTTAAGAGTTGTATATATAAAGTTATATGTAAAGCTTTTATGTTGCTTGATTGATTAACAATGATGTACAATGTATACCTTCTTTTATATATATATATAGGGATTAGATAAGGCTTTTCAATCAGTGGTACATGAAGCATCTCTTGGATGGTGTGTGAGGCATCTCTATGAAAATTTTAAGCAACTTTTAAAGGTCAAGCACTGAAGGAAGTGCAGCCATGGCATCAAATGAAGTAGATTTTATTTGTGAGATGGAAAAATTGAAAGAGTCAGATGAAAAAGCTTATAAATGGTTGAAAAAGAGGGATCCAAACATGTGGGCTAGGCATAGGTTCAGTTTGAAGATCAAATGTGATATGTTGCTGAACAACTTGTGTGAGTGTTTCAATTCCTGGATTTTGGCTACTAGGGATAAACCAATACTTACCATGCTTGAGATGATGAAGTGTAAAATAATGAGAAGGTTGCAAGTCAAGAGGGACTGATTAGTAAATTTGAGGGTCCAATTTGTCCCAAGATCCAAGGAAAGTTAGAGATAAATAAAACTGTCTTATGGATTCAGACCAGTGTATTATGGCAATGGAGTGTTCCAAGTGGGGGACTCATTGGTTGATCAACATGCGGTAAATTTGTGGACAAAAACTTGTAGTTGCAAGAGATGGGAGCTCAATGGAATACCATGTATGCACGTTATTTTTGCCATCTTCCACAATCGACAACAAGCTGAAGAGTTTGTGGATCAATGTTACACTCCATATGCTTATTTGAGGGCTATTTCCTCAGTCATATATCCTATCAAGTGTATGAAGTATTGGCCAAAAGTTAACCAAACACCTGTCCTACCTCTAATGTTTAAAAAGCAGCCCGGGAGACCTAAAAAATGGAGAATAATAAGGGATCCTGAAATGGAAAAGAACAAAGATCCCACCAAATTGGTTAAGAAGGGGAGTAGTAAAACATATACAAAGTGTTGGGAGAAGGGACACAAAAGAGTTGGATGCAAAAATCAACCTCGAGAAGCTCCAAGTGGGGTTTATATAAACAAACGACGGGCTTATCTATTTCATAAAGATGGTAGTCATGGTAGGGGTGTGAACAACAATGAAGGTAATGAAGAAACTCATCCTACTCCTCCATATTAGTGCTCCAATGTCCAACAATGTGGTGAAGTCTTTGTGCCTCAAAGGAATGTAACTGGAGAGTCATCTAGACATACTTTTAATAAGAAGAATGCAAGACCGTCTAATTTACAAGTAAGGAATAATAGACTTGACTTGTTACTTTTCAAATTAGAGGTAATATTTAATATTTTTTTTGTTGTTAATTTTAATTGTGACAGGCGAAGAAAGTTACAAAAAAAAGAACGGTATAACTCTACAGACTTCCCAACCTAAATACTTCAATCTTGCCAATGTAAGTTATCATATTACATTCCTTGCTTTATTTTCTTAACACAACTACCAACCTGCACATATATTATCAGGTATAGTTTTTTAATACTTACATTTGCAGTTTCATCCACCTCAAAATTTTGTTCAACCAACCATCACCAGAGGCCCTAGAGGGGGCACTTTCATTACACCAAATGTGTCAAGGACACCAATTACATGTCAAATAGAGACAAGACCAATTGGCACCAAAACTTCTTCACAAGCAAACTGGCCTCTGATGCCACAAATAGTCCTATACTCTAATATGTCTAGGCCTAGAGAAGGCACTTTCATTATACCAAATGTGATAAGGCCAAGTGCAACCCCAACTTCTTTGCAAGCTAGGCTTCCAATGCCGCAAGCAGTCCCAAGCTCTAGTATGTACATGCCTAGCATATACAAGCTAAGCATACAAACTACACCTTCAACTTTAAGTACGTCTAGAGCTTCACATTCATGGAAACCACTTAGCAAAGCTGTTTATACAACAAAAACAACTAAAAGTTCAAAGAAAAAGAATTTTTGATTGTAATTTGAGTTCTTTTTAGTTTTTCTTTGGCAGTAGGGATTCTGTTAAGTTTTATCTATCTGATGAGAAAGAAAGACCATGTAGTACTTATTTTTGGTGGAGTTCAAAGGAACTTCATTTTAAACTGTTTGGATTAAGGCATGGGTTTTATTTTTTACATTTACAAAAGCTTGGAATTTGTTTTCTTTGTGATCTTGCTAGTGTTCAATTTGAAGTTGCCTTTTGTTTTCGTTTGTGCATATAGGAATATACTTGTGATCAAGTTTATGTGCAGATTTAATTGGAACAAATGTAGTCTCATTTATACTGAAAGTGAACAAGAAAACAATAATCTCATATTTAAATTTTAAATGAATGACTTTCTCAATTTATGTAATTGTGACCAAGTTTAGTGAGTGTACAATAAAATTACGTTTCTGTCCTCTCATGTGCCAAACACGTGTCAATTTTAACTGTCTTTTAGCTGATTGTCTTGAATTGGCTAATTGATATAAACACATGGACCAATTTGGCCAAATTAAAAACACATGAACTAAATTGGCTGATTAAGTAAAATACAAGGACCATGTTGACATTTAATCGAAAAGGAATGAACATGGGACTTGGAAAACCTTCAAATACATTCAAAGGAATAAGGCCATCTCCAACCGAAGGATCTAGATGGATGAAAATAGCGTGAAAACCCATCTCCAACTGTGTTAAAAAATTAATAACTTACAAAATAAAAATTTTCACCACTTATATAAAAACACGTCATGTACCTCCTATGTTCCGGTCATAATTAAAAAATTTTTTACTCACAACAACGAGGACATCATTGACATTTTCTTTCTTGGAAAACGCTAATCGACTGCCACCAGAGAGAGCCGAAACCCCCTTTGCAGCAAGAGCATTAAAGACTAAGAGATTTTTATTTTTTTTTATTTTTTATTTTTTAAATGGAGATTAGTTAGAGCAACCCAAGCATGAGAAGGCTCCTTAGGGCAACTTCCTATTCAATCCCTTCGAATGAACAGTAATTATCTTTAATGAATAGTAATTGTATTTTGCATCTCCACTTCTAAACTGAATAGATATGGCAATAGGCAGTAAAATATTAGTATTTTTTATTTTATAAAAAATAAAAAATAATTTTATTTGTAATTTCGGATAGAATTTTTAATCGGTCTCATTGAACCACGTGTCATTAAATAAGAAATTACAATCCAAAGTATTTGAGAAAATATAAATTTGTGGTGTAAGTTGGAAGATAATGATAACATATTTATAGAAAAATTAAATCAATTTTTTATTAATATTTTTTATTTTTTATTAATTTTAAAACGTGGATCATTTGACGTCAGCCAAACATCACACAGCCTCAGTCTCTCAGGCCACCAATTCGAGCTGGACCTCTCACTTCCCCCCCCCCCCCTCCCCTTCCTCCCCCTCCCTTCAGTCCACACACCCACATTGGTTGAGGCTTGCAGCTCTAGCCATTGGGTTGGAAAAATGGCTCGTCCTTCGGGCTACTCCTCCCATTGGAATTGCTCTTATGAACTTACATCATATCAAACTTTAATGACACGAATATTTATTTTTAAATTACATTTTATAACTTATTTTTATAAAATATTAATCAAATTGAAAATATTCGAGCCTTCTAAGTTTAGGAGTTTAGGAGGTTAATAATTGTTGGATAAATCGAACTAAAAAAGTTGCACACGCTCGCTCACAGGGACTCGCAGTCGCAGAGAGAGTAGAATACCAGAAGAAGTTGAGAAATGGCAGCGATAACTCGATTGCAGCAAATGCAACTCCCCCACTCTCCTCTCACGGTCAAGCCTTCCATACTGTTCCCCAACCCCAACCAGCTCCGCCGCTCACGTCCCCGCACTTTCTCCACCGGTCCTATCCTCTGCTCCTCCAACTCCCCTCATCTCCCTCAGGTCCTCTCCCTCTCTCCATAATTGATACCTCTGACGTGCAATCTGTATGTAATTGATTTTGTCTTGTATGTGGTGTTGGTCAGAGCTCGGTTTCTGCGGCGGGAGCGAATACCTCAATCGTTGGGGATCTGCTCGACTACCTCAACGAGTCTTGGACTCACTTTCATGCTACCGGTACTCATCACTCTATCATTTTATGTTGTTTTTTAGTGCGTGTGTATTGTCTGTTGAAATTTTTCGTAAGAATCCGTTTGGTTACTGGGAAAATTAGGGTAAGGAAGGGAAAGGAATTGAACAATATGAACTCCGTGGCATTTTCTTTTGCATCTGCTAGGATATGGATAATAAGAAAAACTGATCTTTAGAATATGTTTCCGAGATTCAAAGCTTAGTTTGGTAATATTTCCTTTTGAATTCAAACAATCGCAATGTGCTCAAAAGCAAAGCAAATTCATCCACTTCGAGGCTAAACCCCGAGGGCTTAAATATGACTTAACTTTAAATTGTTAACTTTGATCCAATTATGAGGCCAATGAATGCTTATGTATGAAGAAAGAGGTGCTGAATTGGTTACATGTATGGTCATAGTTTTGTTCTAATTTAGGATTTGGTCTTCTTTGCAGCTGAAGCGAAAAGACAACTAATTGCTGCTGGTTTTCATTTGCTGAGTGAGAATGATGAGTGGAACCTGAAGCCTGGTGGCCGCTACTTCTTTACACGGAATATGTCTTGTTTGGTTGCGTTTGCTGTTGGAGAGAAGTGAGTGAAACAGATCTATCAGTTGAAAAATAGGATGATGGATTTAGAATCATCAGCAACTATGCATTACTACTAACCTAATGGAGTATGTGACCAGTTACAGTTGGGTGACATGGGTTTACAAATTGTGTAACCTTTGTTATTGAATTCTGGATATTTGTGTCACCATCATTTTCTTTTGACATAGATTTACCGCATATATTGAATTATCTTTATGGTAATAAAATCTCTGTAATGCCTGTTATTTTGTTTATTGCTTTGTATACAGCTCAAGTCATTCCTTCTTTCCTTTTTTACTTTTTTTTATTGTTAGGTTTGTATTTGTAGTTCTACCTGATTGGCACTTGTTAATCAAAAGTTATTCTTAGTTCTTCAGGTGTAGTGTTGGTAGTGGTTTCCATGTGATTGCTGCACACACAGACAGTCCGTGTCTAAAATTAAAGCCAAGATCTGCATCATCCAAGTCTGGTTATCAAATGATCAATGTGCAGACATATGGAGGTGGTCTCTGGCATACTTGGTTTGATAGAGACCTAAGTGTGGCAGGCAGGGTGATATTGAGAGGCAGTAAGGGCTCCTTTTTGCATAAGCTTGTCAAAGTGAAGCGACCTCTGTTACGAATACCGACCCTGGCCATTCACCTTGACCGGTTAGAAAATGCTCCTGTAATGCGTAGTTCTTTTGAGTTATTTATTTATTTATTTTTAATTTTTTACCAAAAAGTACCTTTACTTGGTTCAATGAAAATGTGAACACTGTATATGAATGATGAAGACCTTATTGATCAAGAATTGTAGATGCTAGAGTCCAGTTAGATTGAATTTTAAGGTGGAGTCAATATAGGGTGCTCCACGAGATGGGTACAAAGTTAGCAGATTAATTGGACTGACTTGTCTGTTCAGAAAGGTTTTGTTTCTCTGAAGAAAAGTTAAGCTTTGCAATTGTTAATTTTGTTAAAATGTAATTTGGTAAACTGAATTTATGTTTGTGTCTGAAAGGGGATTCTTTGATCAAGAGGAAGATAAGAGGAAAGGTTAACCTTGAAGGAAATGTGCTGTATATGAATTTATTAGATTGAATGTATTAACTGGAGTGTGAGACAACATTCTGGAACAAAAGCTTATGTTTTCATGCACAAAAGCTCATTGAATGTTGATAAAGGTTATTGATACATTAATAACACTGCTCTGTGAAAGACTATCTATGTTGGTGATCATAGATGTATTATCTATTACTTTAATTTGTTTAACTTAGCAATTGAATATATAATCTAAGTAAATGTCCCTATACTACTAAGATAGTAGTTTTCCAGTTTCTGAGAGGATCTATGATTGCAAAGGAGGGTAAAAATCTTAGTATATATGATCGTGAAAGATAAATATTTGAAGCTTATACTTATAACTGAAAGCTTCCATGTGCTTTAAATTGAGATTTCAAGTTCTCAGTTATGGCAGGGCTGCCCCTTAGCATTTAGGAGCACTCCAAAAAGTTATACCTGTTAATGAAGTCATGCTTTTGTTAGTTATCAAATATTCATATGTCATCTTGTTATAGTGAATGGCTATATAGGGCAGGTTTTTTAAGAGAATGCTATATGTATGCATACATTTGAACAAATAAATTTTTATTGGTTTAAGTTTTGAGGTGCGACAAGATTGTACAATTTGACAATTGGTAGACAGTTCAATAACTTAGTTTCTAAGTAGTTATAGTCGAAGCTGCATCGTGTTTCATAACTATTAAGTAGTGTGTGACTTGTCTTAAGGCTTTCTAATAGAGCCAGTTGTTGTGCAGATCATCTCATTGTTTTTCGTTTGCTTGTTTAGCACAGTAAACAAGGATGGATTTAAACCGAATATAGAGACTCAACTTATTCCTTTACTGGCATCCAAACTAGATGAAGCATCTCTGGAGACAAAAGAGAAAAGTACCACAGCATCTTCAAAAGCTGATCATCATCCTTTGCTCATGCAGGTATTTGTTTGGTGTTCCACAATTAGTTGGTAAAGCTTCTAAAGTATCTTTGAAAAGTATAAGCTGGGATATTCTATCTGTTAGTGTTTGCGGCTTGGGAATATGTGAGCTTGCCCTTTCCTTGTATCTTCTGTAATGTGACTATAATTGAAAAATGAAAAAAATCTTATTTATGTCAATCTAAAAGACTAGAAGCATATTGTTTCACAAAATTCACTTGTATATTCAATAAAATAATTAAAAGATAGAAATTGAAATGAGAAAAAGCGAGCAGTACTCCAATGCTTATGAGAGTTGTATCATCAGTGCTTCTGCGGTTACCTCTATCATTTTTGGGTATGAATGGTAGAGTATAGAGGTAAATTTGCAATGGGAAATTTGCAGGAAAATTACTATATTCATAGCAATGTCACTGGTGTTAGCACTGGGAACGCATTCTTATTTATCTGTTGTATGCAACTGTTAGAGGTAATAGACTTTCTTGTCAATTTAGGATAATACATTCAATCTATATCACTCTCTAATCCCTGTGAGTAGATATCCTAATCAGCAAATACCATGGCACTAAATAAAAGTGGTCTTTATATATAAAGAAAATTAGAAGATGTGAAATTATCACGTTCGTTATAGTATATGGGCATTCCCATATCAAATAACCAGATGATCCGGTTTCCATTTTTGACTTATACACAAGTGAATTCTGTTTCTATGTAACATTGTAACTTTTCAAGTTATCCATTTTTGTGATCACTGTTAAAGTAATGGTGCACTTGTTTTGGGTGTAAAACACTTTTTATTGAATTACAGCTGTGGTTTTCAGGTTTTATCAGATGAGCTCAATTGTAACATAGATGACATAGTGAGTATTGAGTTGAATATTTGTGATACCCAACCGAGCTGCCTTGGAGGTGGAAACGATGAATTTATTTTTTCAGGAAGGTTGGATAATCTGGCCTCGAGTTACTGTGTGTTAAGGGCTCTCATTGATTCATGTGAATCACCTGGTGGTATATCAAGTGAACATGCTGTACGGATGGTTGCTTTATTTGACAATGAAGAGGTATTTCCTTCATCAGAAATTCTTGCAGCATGAATTTTCCCTTATCCCGATCCCATATTTTTATTTGTTACTTGAAGCACTGAAGTTCTGTATTCATATGCTTCTAGGGATAGTTTGCGTGCCTCACATATTCTCCTTTTCCAAAACTAGATTTTCATTATCTAATATCCATGACGATGTAAAATTACGTGAATGACTATAAACACTATTAGTTATACCATGCGGAGTGGACCCTACATAGGTGTCACACACACTGAGAGGTAGAGTCTGTTTCTTGCAATGCCCCTCAATGTCATTGATCACATTTAACTTTACTGTGTGGCTGATGTTTTCAACAGCCTGCGATTATCTGCAACACTCATGCCATCCTGAAAATTAAAATTCGTGCTTGCATGTGTGTTGCATGACCACACATTCTACACTCTACAGAAAGAGAGTAATTACTTTCTGTTGTAGAGTTTCAACAATTGAATCATTTTATGATGGTTCTTATTTCCACAAGGAACATCCCCTTCTTACTCATGTTGCATTTATAGTGATGGTAATCTTTCGTGTGCATTTTCTCTTGCCTTTTTGACCAGTTCACAGATTCTATCTTCAACTCTTCTTGTTTAGGTTGGTTCAGGTTCAATTCAGGGGGCTGGTGCACCAACGATGTTTCAGGCTATGAGACGTATAATTAGTTGCTTAGCTGAAAAATATGTTGGTGAATGTGCTTTTGAGCGTGCAATTCGCCAATCATTTCTTGGTAAGTTTGAGTCACACCTTTATGAGTTTTTCCCACTGGACCTTTAATAATTCTCTTTCTCTCTCTCTCTCTTAAAAAATTATCTTGAATTTTATTTTTCATTTAGCTCTAAAATGTCTATTGCACATTCAAAAGACAAATGGAAAAATGTCCATGCCATGAAAATATCTTGCAATTCACTTTTCATTTAGCTTTACATTTTGGTTTATGGATTCAAAACACGGAACGGTTTTGAGATTCCATTCCTATATTTTGCAAGCACATTCTCAGGAATCTGATAACTGTTATGTGTGCACGCTTAAGGGGTACTTCCTGGTTACCATTTCCCACTGTTACCAAACACGTGAATGATAGCCTTTTTGTTCTCTTCGCCCAAAATAGACATGGGAGTTGCCGTCCTAAGCAACCCACTATGCGAAGAAAATGAACTGTAAAGGGAATTACAAAATCTCTAACTGTATGTTTTTCGATAAAGGGTTTACGGTTTTGAATCAGAGACTGTATTATAGCTAATTTTATTCTTGTGACCAGGATATAACTTCTTTTTTTCAATTTCTTTGTTCTTAGGTAATGTATCAACATAATCTCTAAGTGTATATTTGGGATGCTTTCTTAATAGTGTCTGCAGACATGGCTCATGGAGTACACCCAAATTTCATGGACAAGCATGAAGAACACCATCGTCCTGAAATGCAAAAAGGTCTAGTTATCAAGCATAATGCAAACCAGCGCTATGCTACTAGTGGGGTCACATCTTTTATTTTCAAGGAAATTGGCAAAATCCATAACCTTCCAACTCAGGTATTTACTGTTGGACACCCAGTTTGATTAATCCATTTAACAATCTTGCATTAAATAAGTCATTAAGTAGGAATCCCATGCTTTAAATAAGTTGAATAGAGTAGGTTACCCTTTCCTTGGAAACTGACCTTATGTTCTGTGCTATTCATGTATTATACTAACATCTTCATGGAGAGAAATTTATCTCTTTTCCTTTACTAATGACCGAAACAGGATTACTTTCTGAATGTTTATATATTGCTGACTTGTTACATAAAAAAACTGAAATCCAAGCCACAAAGAAACTCCGAAGTTAGTAATTCGTGTTAAAAAAAAAAATGAATTTTTCTTCCCTATTCAATTTAATGTCTACTTTATGAGATAGCATCATAGATCAGATACATCACTCTAAAGATAAATCAGTCCTTTTTTGGAATTCAATTTAAAGCATATTGTCGTGAGAAAAAATTGATGTCACATGTCTCATTGATTATCTTTGACATTCTTTACTTCAGAATCTCAGATAACAATAACTTAGCTCATAGCTTTTACTTGCTCTATTATTTCTCTTAAGGAATTTGTGGTGAGAAACGATATGGGATGTGGATCTACCATAGGTCCCATACTAGCTTCAGGGGCTGGCATTCGTACTGTCGATTGTGGCATTCCTCAGCTTTCTATGCACAGGTATCGTGTCGCAAATCAACATAAATCTCAAAATTTTGATGCCAACTGATATTTTTAATTATGAAGATCATATTTTCATAATTGATCTCACTCCCGAGCTTCATTTATTTCATATTTTCATGTCGTGGCATATCTTTTGACGACTCTAGTAAAGTGAGCCTCTCTCTAACCGTCTAATGAAAAAAATGCAGCTGATAGTAAAGTGAAATAATATGTTTCATTAACTATCTTAATTGTGCTTAAATTATTAAGCATTTTGATAATCTAACTGATAGTTTTCAATAAAAGAGAGGCTAATATTGTACGTTTATGTATTAGCACTCCTTTATAGGTTGAAATATAATGCGTCATGAGTTATCACTGTTGGTTTTGTTTATTTTCATATCTAACTGCAGTGTGAGAGAGATTTGCGGGAAGGAAGATATCGATATTGCATACAAATACTTCAAGGCATTCTACCAAACTTTCTCAAGCATAGACAGGAAGCTGGATGTAGATTCGTAAGTCGCCTTTTATTACTCTGTTGAATTTATTATTCCATTATCTGTTTGTGCGTGGGCTGAGACAGACAGAGCTTGAATAAATTCCTTCGTTTGAAATGTTTACTTTTCATCACATAATTTTCAATGCAAAAGCAAAATTTGTTCGAGATGGGCTAGGTAACAAGAACTCCTTTCTTTTTTTTGGGGGAAAGGTAACAAAAACTGCAACAGTTGGAGGGGGGGATTATTTCTGCTAGGCAAATGTGTGCCTGGCTAACCCTTATTGCAACTGATGGATCCGAGGAAGCAGAGGCATTTGGGCTTGGTTTTGAGTTGCCTCTAGAGAGTTTCTGCTTGAGCTCCGAACAAAGCCTGATTCTCTTTGTTGGATTATGCCAGTTTTGCAAGTACATGTGCAAGTTGAGCTTCTCCATACCGATTTGCTCCCGTTGTCCCTGAAACAATGAAACAGATCGTTAATGTCAAGTATTTATGATAGGCAAATGACACTACTTTTCGGTTTCTTATTTGCGCTGGGAGTATAAGAAAGAACGTTCTGAATGAGCTGCGTACATTGAACTGGAAACCGAAACCGAAACCAATTTCGAACCAAGCCACGCCAGTTGGTTTGTGTTTTTCCGGTTCATCCTCCATGACCAAAATCGAACCAAGCCATGCCAATTTCGAACCAAAATCGAAATTAGCTACCATTTCATCCTCCATGACCAATTTTCAATATAACTGTACTATCCGTAATCTGGTGTAACCAAATTCACGCGTGTTATTAAGCGTGTATTACTCAAGTGAAACAACGAGAATTTGAGGCTCACATCTCTTACAGCTGCTTGTTGGTAGTCACAACCAACGTTCTTGTAAGTTCATATAATACATAGAGAGCTGTCTTTGGATGCGACATTATGGCACACCAACGCAACTCAGACGGTGTCTAAGTTCTAAATCCTAGCTTTCACAATACCATGCATAGATTGCGGACAATTTGACACCTGAGTCCCTCCTAGCCCCAGGCGTGAGAATAAAAATAAAAATGGAAAATCCCGAACCGGCCCCTTCCAGTCCCAAAACTGAATTGAAAATTGCCTGACCTAAAGCCAAACCGATCCCAAAATTTTCGTTTTGGGATTGAGGCTCCTCTATGTAATCAGTTGGGAATCCCGAACCAAATATCAACATATTTTATTGTCTAGAAGGAATTAGGCTTACTTGTTTTTTAGTACAAGTAGCTACCATGTTTGCTATGACTTTTTATTATCGTCAAACCATTATAGACATCTTTGCTTCTGTTCAATATATAATGACTGAAGCTAATTTTGGTTGGTTAATCCGATCAATTCATTGATGGTCACGTCTGGTTAGCTAGTTGGTGAGGCAATAGCTTATCAAGTTGATGATCAGTAGTTGGTTCGAGAGGATGATCAGCCACACTAGGACCGAGACACGGTCTAGACTCCTACGGTGGGCAGCACTGGAGAATATATATATATATTATATATATATATATATATTTTTTTTTTTCTTTATTTGTTTATTTATAATTTATAATTTAAAAATTACTTGAACCGTTGGATTGGTTAAGATTTAATCTCAACCGTCCTTCGTAAATTAGCTCTATCCCAGACTCTCCTCGTCTCATTAACTCTCGATCACTCCAACACTCCAACCCTCTCATCTCTCTCGAATCCGCGGCGGCGCTGCTCCGTCCACCTTCTCTGACGGGACTCCGGCCAGCCACAAGCAAGCCACAGAGACAAGCACACGCACCCTGCTAGGCCTCTTCTTCGTCTTTCGAGTCCCAAAATCCAGGTAAGGTTTTTCTGGTTTAGGGCGGCCTTCACTTTTCGGTATGGGTTTTTTGGTTCTTTTCGTTTGCAGTCAATAAATGGACGTTAGTTTCTGGGTATCTTCTTCTCTTCTCTGAATTTTTCAAGGAATTAAAACTGCTTTATGCTTATCAGCTTATGCATGTAATTTCCGTAGGTTCTCTTTCGAGTTTCGGTTCCATAAATTGCGTTCTAGAATGGCTAAAAGCAAGGCGGCGATTGGGCTCTCGTGGGAGCCAAAGTTGCCGGCTTTTTCATCGGCCTCCAAAAATCGAGGTTGGTCTGGCTCCAAACCTCGCCCCGAAGCTAATCCGCTTTGGAAACCCAGCACGCAGCTTGTCGATGGCCTCTTCGTTCCGCCAAATGACCCGGTAAAGCGGAACAAATTGGCCAAGAAGCAGATCAAAGACACTGCTGGATCAAGCTGGTATGTTATCAGCTCAATTCACTCTGGTTCCTTTTAGTCTTGGGTTTTGTTAGAGTCCCCTATATCATTGGCCGGCGATTGAAATTCATATTCTTTTCGGTGTTTCGGAATGTGTTTTCTGATTTAGGTTTGACATGCCTGCACCAACCATGACCCCGGAATTGCAGAAAGATCTCCAATTACTCAAGGTATGGTAACTTATGTTTTGTTTCTGTTTTTTGTTTTCATTGGCACAATGTTGTAGTCCTGTGCATTCCTTGTTTTCTCGGTTTTGGGCTTGCCACGGTATTTGTTTTACTCTTAAGGATCTGTGTTTTCAGAAGTTTTTGTGGTTATAGTTGTAGTTACCATGTCATTGCATCAACCTTGGAAGTAATAAACATCGGACAGTCTTTCAACCCGAGTCTCTAGCATTGAGAATGTTATAAAAGCCAATCGAACTTGGAAGTTTGCATTTGACGGTACTTTGGTATGATTCCAAGTGCTTGTCAAATTGGTTTTAACGAAAAGAACCATCTAAATGCAAGCACCTTCTGTAGTGAGTGGTGTTTTTCTTGTCCATCCGCAGACCATATGTTCATCGAAACATTTAAACGAGATGGTAATTCTTTGGAATCTGGAACCCCTTCCAACATTCAGTTATTTTCCTGTATTATTCAGACCATTTCCGTTCTAAAGCATATCAATTGACATTTATTTGAACCTAGTGGGATATATGCCTGCTCATGCACCATTTTACCGGCTTATTGATTTCGGGTTTATCCATTTGCAAGGATCACTATAATTAAAACTTCTGCATTTTACTGTTTCGTTTATTTTTTGGTCTTATGCTTTCGTTGTTGTTAAAAGGAAGTATAGTTGGCTGATTCAATTTTCTAACTGCAGTTAAGGAATGTTATGGATCCAAAGAGACATTACAAAAAGGGGGATGCACAACCGAACAAGTATTTCCAGGTTAGAATATGGTATCACGATAACGTTACAAGAAGCCGTTCACGGGATGTATTAGTACATTTGACGAGGTTAACTGCCTTGTGGCTGTTTATCAGGTAGGGACAGTGATAGAGTCCCCATTAGATTTCTTCTCGAGCAGACTTACAAAGAAGGAAAGGAAGGTGTCCCTTGCAGAGGAAGTGCTTTCTGATCGTAACCTTGGCAACTACAGGTAATAAGATAGCCAGAGGTTTCTTTCACGGTTTTATTACTATGATGCTGTTGCTTATTTCGTTGATCCACCATACAGAAAGCGGAAGGTTCGCGAGATAGAAGAGAAAAACCGGCCGGGTGGAAATGAAAAATGGAAGATAAAGGGAAAAGGGTCGTATCAGCGTGCAAAGCAAAGAAGGCACTGATACATCTCACCTTGACCAAATTTTTGAGACTCTGGAGAGTTTTTTATTTCACACAATCAAAGAAAGATTTTGATCATGTGTACTTTACTTAGTGAGAGTTTCTTGAAAGCTTCTGTTACTGCTTGCCTCTGCTAGGTGGTGGCCTGTAGCCTCTGAATCTGATTTCCGTGCTTGTGGGCAGCGAAATTTGACACACCGTTTTCAGCTTTACGTACCATGTTTTATTGATGATTGACGAATTGAATAAATCAAACGAAAACAATAACTAGCAGTACATGAAACGTTAAAAGGCTGTGTGTTTATCATTTTTCTTTATATTTCCTCCTTGACCTGGTGAGGCAAGACTACACGTAGAATACCCAGAAGAAAGACTGCCAACTTTTATTAGAATAAAAATTGACAGCAATATGGCACTTTTTACTTGTAACGTAACCAGAATTAATTTCAGAATTCAACTGAAACACTTGATCGCACCATGGCAATGGCTCCTCAGAATCTCCCAAGCGAGACAAATGCAGATACGCGTCGGGTTTGTTTTATAATTACTACAACAGATCTTATGAATTTAAATAAACCGTATTAAAAGAAATAATTACAGACCGAAGTGTCGTATGATACGTAACATGATGCAGAATACCTTCTTTTTTTCAACTATAAGATCTTTTTGTCAGAAGAACCTGGATGCAGATCAAACTTCCCAAGGGCATACAAATAATTCCAAAGAATCCTCCTATGCAGACCCCCACTGGCTCTTTTCCGTGCATCAAGACAGCAAAGAGACACGTATCGATGCTGCTTACTCTCTAAACAAGTAACCAAAGCCTGCATAACAAAACCCAAAACAATTTGGTTAAGCTTTAATATCGACATATATACAAATGAGGCGATCCAAGTGTAACTCGAGTTGAAAACTGGAAAAATTAACAGCCAATTTGCTAGATCAAGATGTATCCCATCCACTTTCACCTACGGTGCGCTACCACATCTTATACCAGCCAGTGCACAAGCCTTGTTCGCGGTGCATGTGTGCATGTGATAGTGTCAGGAGAGCATACCTTCATCCAAGCAGAGACATACTTTCTCAGCTCTGTTCAGATTCTTCTAAATCGTCTTCGTCATCATAGGGTCACAAAGCTCTCAAGAGAGCTTGTTTACATATAATTTCCAAACCCATGGAGCTTCTTCATCATTCATCACAGATGGAAGAAGCTTCCGTTGGAACCAAGGAAGAGGAGAACAGATGATGTCTGTGTCCATAGAAATGAGTCCATCCACTCAAGCCCACCTTGGTTCCCTATGCCTGCACTCCTGCCAACTAAAACACGTGCGGCTCGCAGCCCATTATACTTCATGCTCGACTCCAAGCAGGCAGGGTGCAGGCACAGCCCCTGCCCCTCACCGGGGCCGGGCTAACCCAAAACTTGCATCAGATTGCTGTTGATGAGACTGTAAAAAGAAATACATAAATAAAACAAACACAAGCACCATATTCCAAGCAGTCAAAACAAGTGAAACCTATTACTTGAGAAACCTTAGGCAACACACCACAGTTTTTTTTATTTTTTTATTTCATCAAATAAAAATGCACAACGAAAATTGCAATTTAGAATGCAGACTTATGATTCTACTTTAGATGACATTTCCCTGAGTCTAGCAGGAGGAGAAAAATTAAAGAAAATGAAGAAACTTTCTAGTAATAAAACAACAAACTTTTACATAACAGGACAGATTTTTGTTCATTCATATAGCTGCCTTAAATTTTACAATTATTTATTTTTTAGCCACTTATATCTATGAACAAATTTTTTAAAGCCCCATATTGGAGCAAAAAATAAATAAAACTTGAATTTTTTTGGGGACTTATTACTAGTTTATCCAAAAACAGCTGAAAAACAAATAACGACAACTAGAGGTGATAAAAAACCGTTCTTTCTTTTCGTATACAAGGATTTCTACTTCTAAAAAAGAGATAGTAGTAGCTAATGCTACACTTTTGGTCGTTAATAACAAGAAGGTGGTACTAAAAATCATATTAAGGAGTGAAGTTCATGGAAAATAAGATTACAAAAAATCCATCAAACAGAAAAGTGATACATGGAAGAGTACCCATTGCATGTGCCAAGAGTACAGACACAAATAATGATTTGGATCAACAATGATGCAGCACAAAATTATATCGGTGGGACCCATCTTTATTTAGTTGATAAATAATGAGTTGTGTTGTAATTACAGTGAAGTAGATAGGTCAGGTGGAGAGTTATGAATGCAGGATGCAAGAGAACCAACCAAAATATGTTATAATGAGAAAGATTCTGTTCAGTGCTCTCAAATCAGAAATGTGCTAATGCAGTAGCGAATTCAAACCACGTTTGGAAAGAGGGGAAATAAAAAGATTAATTTTTTTCTTTCTTTCAAAAGAAGTACCTCTTCAACAAGAAGTTGACAAGACTTCTTAATTGACTTTCGAGAAGATAGCTGTTGAATTGCCATACCTGTGAAAAAGATTGGTGAACATGTTCATGAGGATGGACAAAGGGCATTCCAGGGCGCTGACAAGGATACTGGGATGAATGCAGATAAATGCCAGATGTAGATCGTGCACCAACATGATTCGGATTAAATGGTGTGATTATGGTCTCCGGATGACCATACCCAATGCCAGCAGGGGGCGATGGTGGAACCCAAGGCCCAGGTAGGTGTTGTGGAAGAGGACGAGCCTGATGTTCAGTGGAAATCTGAGGCCTGTGTGCAGAACCAAGTTGAGGAAATTCGGTGTTATAGTTCAATGCAGGTGTATACATAGGCTGGATGGTGTATGGGCCACCATTGAATCCAAACCCAGGATCAAATCTTTGCATGTACCTGCAAAATATTTTACCACAAACTTTCGTTAGCTATAAAATAGGAAAGACCAAATAAACCAGGAGCTACATAACGTGTACTCAAGAACAAGTTTCTGGTCAGGGCTACATGGAAATTAGAGGGACTACAACATTACACCTTTAAGTTCTTAATTTGTTGGATTCTATCAACTTGCAGCATTAAGGATTAGTTGGATTTAAGAATTAACATAGCAGGTAAAGTATCAGAAGGCAGATGCTTAAGATTTTGAGCCATGTAATGACCAGATCATCCAAAAATATCACGGTCACAATAAAAGACAGGCTTCAATACTGACAACACTAGCAATGCTGATAGGAACCATATTTTGCATAGATAGTTAAGATCATATTTTCTTTTGTTTGTTTAAGAAGAAAACAGAAAGGGAAGAGTAGCTTAAGCAAAAAGAAAACCATGACCATAAAAATAATTATGAGACGAGATTTTGCCTCCAAACGCAAAAAGATGATGGTCCTCACGTGAATGAAAGGACAGGCTTCAACACTGACAACAGTAACTATTTTGGTAAGGAAATTGAATACCAAACGAATAATAGAGAGAAGAATAAATGGTCATTACAGATATTGAATACCATACCTGTCATAGCTCCTGTCATAATCAGGGTCTTTACGGTCAATCTCACGATCCCTAAATATAGCTACCCTATTATTTGGTTTGTACCTCCCAATTGGCTCCTTCTCTGGCCTAATTCTAGCTGTTCTACTGCTACTTGTTGAAGAATCGATTAAACCCCTACCAGAGTGCAAATCAGAAACACTTGGTATATCTTCCACCTTTGGCATCACCAAGGGTACATGTTGTGGAGTATCCTGCAGTTTTGGTTCACTTTCTGATTTCCCACTTGAACTACCACTCACATTAATACTAGAGTTAAATATTCGTGCACGAGCCCTGTTATACTCTTCTTTCCGTTCTTCCACACTTTTAGCACTGTTTTCCTTTAACGAATTTGAGTTTGCACTGTTTCCACCCTGTGACCGTTTCTGTGGCCTCTGTTTTATTGCAACCTTAGTAACACCGCTGTCTTCTGACGGTAAATTAACAGGGATGTCTGCAAGGCGAATCAAAGGGAGTCGACACTCAGGAGTTTTGCGGACAATAATTCTGGAACCAGAGCCATCAGGTAAATTATCATCTAATAAAACCATTGACTGAAGCGAATAATGTTGAGCCACGCGATGTGCAGCCAAGCGTAAATAAGAAGTGGGCAACTGCTGAAACTCTAGTTGCTGCTGAAGAGGATCACGGATAAACTTCTCCACATCTTGCTCCATTCGTAAAACTGCACAAGAAGATATCTATGAATAGGGTTTACTCTAGTTAATCCAAACAAGACAGCGCATTCTGATGGCATCCAACCAAACATATTCTAATAATTATAATAAAATGGCCATGACAATGACAAAAGATTCCAAGAAAACAAGGTTCACTTCTAGTTCATTCGCCAACATCATTGAGCAGTTAATACAGGAAGTTTAACAAATTTCCCTCTTTTTAGTTTTACGGGAATTGACTCACTGAATTCTCTTACAACAAAAAAACCATCCTTCTCCTCCTTCCTTCAACCCTGAGCGACCTAACCAAATTCTTCCATAATCACACATAAAATTTGTGTCAAACATTCCAATTTGATTAGGTTCGGGATCAGCAAGGTCGGATAAGGTAGATCTGGTAATCACTCTTTCACCTTCAACTCCTACCCTTTTAGGAACTAAAACTAGCTAAATAAAGGAAATCCTCAGGCTGTTTCGATGTGAATGTGGACTAACAGATAAAATAAAATGGAAAAGCATTTCATGTGTTAGAAGACATATTATAACATATCAACTTCATCTCTATAGCTTTCCAACAAAGTACGAAGGAAGATCAAAACCATAGCAGCTAAAATTATGTGAATTGAAGTGTTCGGCCGGTAGCTTATGACTTTTTCTTATGCCTTCCTTTCTGTTATTCATACAGGCACTTCAAAAGAAAACCTTAACCGCAACGAAAATGGCATGGGCAGAAAATGCAAGCAAATGTTGAACAGGCGGTAGGCTGCATACAACCCACACAAGATTGTGAAACGAAAACTATAACAAAATTAGCCATAAAAAAACCCCATTCAGCTTCAATTTCGTCTCGAGCTTTTCAAAGAAGCAAAAACATGAACTTAACTTCAGGATGTACGCAAAGCTTACTTGATAGGCGCTCCCGAGGGTTTTGCAAGGCCTCGCGAAGGAACTGGTCGACCTGATTGACGGCATCCTCGGAAAACTTATCAGAAGCGTCAGAAGAAGAGGAAACCAAAGGGGGGACGTCGGTAAGGCTTTGGGGGGGCTTGGAATCCTTGTTGGAGGAAAGCATCAGGCGGTTCAAGGCGTCGTCCAAACCGGCGACCTCCCATGACTCCGGGGCTCCGATATCCTCCGCCACAGAGCCCTCCATGGCCTATCGATCACTACCTCTCTCTCTCTCTCTATCCCTCTCTGCGTAGGTAAAATACGAGCAATCGAAAGGGGAAATCGGAAAGAAAATCGAGGTTAGGGTTTGAGGAAGGGTGGCGAACAATTCATCGAAGGACGTGTGTGTCCTCTGAGACTGAGATCGAAACCCCAACGAGATTTTGGGGTTTGGATTTCATGTCAGATTGATTGGGGCTTTGTCTTTTTCTTTAGGGTTTCGGAACGAGAATTGGGTAAGAGAGAAAGAGAGAGAGAGAGAACGAATGGAATTGCAGAGAAAGGGAGATAGGTTTGACGATGGATTGTGGGATTTTGCGAGTGGGTGCGTGGGATTTTCTTTCACACGTCACACGTGCCCCTTTGTTTTGTTTATTGTTTTCATAAACTCCTTTGAATAATGTGTGTGAACGCTGGGTGGGTTTCAAAATCGAAAAACAATCGAATTGAATTCAAAAAAACCGAACAAAATTGAAAAAATCGAAACAAAATTGAACCGAGCAGAACCGAATAATAATTTCGATTTTGGATTTCAGTTTTGATAAAAACCGAATAAAATCGAACCCAACCTCTAGTGAAAAGATTTTCCAATTGATATACACCAGTGCAAGGAAGTTTATTTTAAAATATTCATCTACTTGTTTAATAACGTATAGTATACTTCTTCAAGTTACATTGACGGTCCAATTTAAGGTTAACTCTGTTCATTTATCGCTAAGTCATGGGACACTTGTCGACATGACAATGCGGGGCCGGCTAGGTAGCTATGGAGTCCCCATCTCATCCACCCACTACAACCCTTTCAGTGTCCCTTCATTTTCCTTCACTTGTACTTGTTGCACTTGTTTCTCCATTAAAGCATTGTGTGCTGCTTCTCCTTTTGTTTCATGGTTTGATACGAAGTTAAGATTCCTGAAGAAAATATGAGTTAGCCATGTGTTTGTCAGGTAACAATTTACAGAATTCTGCGGATCTGTCAACATCTGGAGAGGCAAGTGAAACGTCCCCCATCAAAACAAACAAACTTTTTTTGTGACTGGTACGTTGCAAATTCAGTTCTGATCTTAAACATTCATTTCTTTGAATAGGATGTAGGATAATATAAATGATTATGATCATAATACACATGTAAATTCAATCAATTAGATAATACTCAAATGCATCAAACACATATATCAATAAATAAAACAGTAAAATGGTAAATGTAAAGAATGATCTAGCCTGTGATATCAAGAGAGGTGTGTTGTCACTGTCTTAAAGCCGTAGATGTCTCCCTACGTGCCGGTTATAACGGCTATCTACAACTTCAAGATACAACTCTTGAATCTCATAGAGTGTCTAATCCATAAGCACGGTTATAGTAGACGTGCTGCATTTGAAGGCTGTGGAGAGCTTGTTGAAGGTACTACCTTTTTCTATAACTTAAAATGGTGTTTCTGGTTTCCTGCCGTTGGTATGCTCACGCTGGTGAACTGCTTGTCTCAACAGTTAAAATAGTAATGGACAAAATTTCTAAAAGGTCAAAAGGTTATGCATTCATAGAATACACTACGGAGGAAGCTGCTAGTGCAGCTCTCAGAGAGATGAATGGCAAGGCAAGTTTCAACATACTTTTCGTTTTGTATAAAATCTAATCTCAATAATTGTGGATTCCCTCACAAGACTAAGCAAAATGCTTGATTTTAGGAGGAGAAATCACTCTCTTCAAATGCACACGACAAATAAACTATTTTTCATTAATCATCCCTCAAATGATTGTATTACATCATAATTTAAAGAAGGATAAAGGAATCATAAATGAATTACAACTTCCCAAAAGGCTCTCACCATATTCTAAATGGACCTAACAAATTTCTAAGTAATTAAAAGTGCACTGCCATTATTATTCCAATTCCAATGCACGTGACCAATTTCCAAGTTGTATGTTTGTTCCCTCATCATTCTCATCTTCTCGAAAAAAAACTCATCCTCGAGGTTCAATTTAGGGGTGAGCACAGGCCAGGTCGGGTCCAAATTTGGAGGAGTCAGACCAGACCTGCTTAAAAAAGAAACAGGACGGGTCGGGTCGGGTATTGCAAATCTGCTCACTAGAACCGGACTTAACCTAGCCCATTTCAAACGGGCCGATTCGGGACAGGTAGTCCTCTTACTTTTTTTTTTTTCCTTTTTTTTTTCCTTGGTTTTGATCGCCTTCGCTCATCCTCCGGATCTTTTCCAACATCAAGACCCTCATCGGTTTTATTCTCTTCTTCTTTAGCTCTCCCGACGAGCTCGTTGGGATGGCGCATGGGTCCTACTCCTCGGAGTTCTCTTCCAATAGCTACTACTACGAAGGAAGAGCAAAAAGACGAGCTTGCCGAGTCCATCAACTACCAAGTTCGACAGAAGTAGGGTGAACTTTCAATTTCCATCTTTTTTTCTTCAAATCAATCACTCACAACACCAATTCAACAAAAAATTACATTATGTATATCTATATATCTAATATTTATATCTGTATAAATGTGATTGTAATTAAAGATCAAACGGAGCTAGATTCAACTCAAAACGTAAAACCCAGACACAGATCTGAGAGTGGACGGAGTACAAGGGCTTCGGTGACATGGCGGCGGGGCTGCCGGGGCACATCTACGCCATGTACTGGAGCATCCTCAAGCAGTACCCAAACCAAGTGGAGATCCTGCAGCTGGACGACTCAAATGCGGAGATCCCAACCTGTCTTTCAAGCACTTGTACCCGCCAACCAAAACCATCTTCATCCCAGACAAGGAGTGCCAGAAGCCAAACCTGTGATGTAAAATTTCACAAATTTTGTAAATCAAAATTAAGAAATTGACGAAATTGGAAGAAATAAGGGAAATGAGTTACCTTGGTATCGAGATCGGATGAGGAGACGGAGGAGTTGGTGGGGGAGGAAGGCGACGGTAGCATATCATTTCTAGGTGGGGTGTGGGTGGGGTGTGTCTGTGCTTCAGGAAGGAGAGTTGCAAAGATGGGGGGATAAACAAAGAAAAGGAATGAGGGAGAAGGTTTGAGAGATTGGATGAGGGGGAAGTAGGGTGTGTGTGTGTGGAGAGTTCTCGAGAGTGAGAACTGTTGCGGGGAGGAACAATAGGAAATGGCCCTGGGAGACAGTACCCAACACGGGGTATTCTTGCAAACGGGCCGGTCGGGGTACCTGTTTTTCTATAATTTTGGAACCAGCCGAACCTAAAATTTCAAAGGCCTACCCCGCCCCGCCCCATTTCTCTTTTTTAAAATTAGGAGCCTCGTTGTACCCGCCCCGAACCGCTAATACCTGCCCCTACCTGCGGGCCCAGACCCGTTTGCCCACCCCTAGTTCAATTGACTTTTTTTTTCCTCCATCTTTTGGATGTCCAACCAAGATGTTCCACAATACTCAATTTAGCACCAAAATTTTCCAAGTTCCTATAGACCATGCACAAATTAATCTTTTCTTCTTCAAAATAATCACCTTGGAATGGTGCTTCCAAATCACTTCTTCAAATGAGTCGAGATAATTCAAATTACGTTGAAAAGTTCTTCTATCAAAAAGCTCTCCCCTCATATCTTGAGTGACAAAATTGTCCCAAAAGGATCATGAATGCTATGGATAATAAGAGCTTGTACTCCATCGCGTTCGTAATGATCATAAACCAAGGCAAAATCCCATTCGACATAGTTCTCAACTACATCACTGTTTTCTATATGTTCCCCCTTCGTGCCAAACTCCTTGTTGGAACGTTTTTCAACCTTAATACATGTACAACAAATCTCACATGAACCATCTGGACAACGATCAAAATTTGGAGGAAGATTGAGATTTAGAAAATTGTCACCTGAAAAATCAAAGATAGCCATTTCTAGAACCCATCCAACCTCATTTACTGGCAACAGCAACATGCTTTAGTAAATTGAGGATATTGTTTTGTAGAAATAACGGATTGAGGAATTGCTTGAAAATTTAGAAACTAGACTGGAAAAGATTTCAAATGATATATGGCATGAAGGTCGAGCAATATTTAACCAAATCGAAAATTGACTCGCAAGATAACTAATTTTGTTTTCGCGACAGCACTAATGTTTTGCGGTGTTTTGCCGATTTCTGCACACACAAAATTCGGTTTGATGCAGGGTTTGTTGCGTTGAAAACTAGACTCCCAAAGCTTTCTAGTGAGTAACTCTTCAAATGCAAGTCAGGGGAATTAAGTCAGTTTTTACGACGAACACAGATGATGTGGGCAACACTACCACCAGGATTTCGGATAAAATCCGAAAACCCGTTCTGATGCTACTTGATGCAGGAAGAACCAATGGTAAATGGAAAGAATAGGGGATAGATGAATTGGGAATCACTTAACTACGGGCAACAGAGCTCGCTCACGTTGCTAATCGTGGATTCGCGCTTACACGACCAAGCCAAATGCTTGATTTAAGGAATGAGAAAACTCATTCTCCTTCCTTAAATCAAGTGTTAGGCTTGGTTGTGTTGAGTGAATCCACAGTTAGCAACGTGAGTGATTCCATTGTCCCTGGTTGAGTGATTTTCATATTCTATCCCGTAGCAATGTTGAGCGAGTTCCGTTGTCCTCGTTGAGTGATTTCCAAGTTGTGCTTCTCTAATGAATGATGTCGTTGCTTTCAAAAAAAAAAAAAAAAGAGTGATTCCCAGGCTATCTCCCCTGGTCATTTGGTTCTTCCAGCATCAGTTGAAGAGTGATTCCCAGATTATCTCCCTCGGTCATTTGGTTCTTCCTGCATCAGTTGCCACCAGACCAGGCCAACAACCAGATGAAAGAGAGAGAAAGTTAGAGAGAGATTTTCCACCAAGAAGTGAATTGTTATGTACCAAATTGAATTCCTCTAACGTTTGAGAGTACCACAATTTTACTTTTCAAAAGAAATAGATTTGAGTTATTACTGTCAATTATGTTTAGGCATATTATCCATTTTAGTCTTTTGATGCGCAGACAAGAGGCACGCAGGTTCGTCTTTCTTGTCTAATTATCTTCCTCATCGCATTTCTTTAGCTCTCCATATTTGAATTTGGAGAGTCAGATGAGGAAAAGGGGTTGAGGGAGAGAGATGTCAGGATCAGGAAAAGATGAAGCTGCTTACGTCTTTCTCTGAAACGGATTGTTGGGCAAAAGTGGTTCACAACAGGATACCAAATATATCGAACTCGCATTTCCCAAAAGTTGAATCCAAGACCATAAAGTGAGGTAGCTTTATAAACTTTGATATGAAAAGGGTTAGGATTATAAAAGAAGCACGTACTTATTCCAGAAAGCACTTCACCGCTTGCATTGATCATAAAATCCAAAATGTTATGTTTAGTTATGGTTTGATTGACAGTGATTACATACGAATCCAAAATATTATGTCATAAATGTTTGCCATCTTTACGGAAGGGAAAATTTCTTAAATGGAAATTGTACTAATAAGGTTAATTAGGTCATAAATTAAATATAAACGAAGCTTTTGGACTGTATTATATGAATTTTCAATTCCTTTTTTCCGTTTTCTAAGCTGTAAAACCTAATGCTCTCGAGTAAGTTACATGTATGTGTGTGTGTGAGTGTGTGTGTGTGTGTGTGTGTGTGTGTGTGTATGTATATATCGTCCTCATCCCAGCATCTTTCCCCCAGAACATTACTCCTAATATTCTGGTTTCAATGGAGAAGAAAACCACCGTCGCCTCTTCATTTTGTCTCCTTCTTTTATGTGTCGCCACTTCTACTGGTTAGTCAAATAACTTAATTATTATTTATTTTAGAATTACATAAAACAAATTGTATTCATTTATTAATTCGGATATTTAATTACTACGTTTTTTTAATTGCTTTTTACATGTAGTAGCAGAAGTTCTTGAGGCACACCCCCACCTTCACCACCAACCCCACAAAAATGATGGTTCCATCAAACTTTTCGTATTCGGGGACTCGTATGCTGATACCGGGAATGTCGGAAAATCTGTATCTCCTTCGTGGAAGGAACCTTATGGGATCACTTTTCCTGGAAAGCCCGCCGGCCGTTTTTCGGATGGTCGTGTGCTCACTGATTATTTGGGTTCGTTTTCATACCCTCTCTCAACTCGAGTATTTTTGTTTAGATTTTAAACGGTCTAGTAATATTTCTTTTAACTTGTAAGTGAGAAACGCTCAATATCAATTTTTCCTAAGCATTGATATATCTTTGTGTATATCAGAAATGGAATAATGTATAAATGAATTAATTATAGCATATATGGTATTGTAAATTCAAATTAATTATATGTTGCAATATATTTATGCAGCTCAATTTTTGGGTATAAGATCTCCATTACCTTACGCATTGAGAAAATATGCGAAGAAATCGAAACTGGAGAACGGGATGAACTTTGCATATGGAGGGACGGGAGTTTTCGATACGTTGGTGAGTGGACCAAACTTGACCACCCAAATCGGCTTTTTCCAACTTCTGCTTGAACAAGAAAAAGTGTATGACAAACGCGACCTAATTAAATCCTCCGTAGCTCTAGTGTCAGTTGCGGGGAACGACTACACATCTCATTTCGTTAAACCAGGCAATGGCAGTAAGGTAAGTGGTGGTTCAGCTAGCCTTATATATATATTGTTTCAAAAGTCTTCGTGAGTTTTGGACCTTTGGTTATACAATTATAGTGTTTGAAAGTGCTTTTGAAATGCCTGAAAGTACTTTTAATGAAAGTATTTTTAAAACCAATTGTTAGTAAATATTCAAGTAAAACTTTGGATAAAAAACGGTTGAAGTACTATTTCTTAAAAGCACACAATTGGTGTTTCTTTCAAAATACATATAAAATGCTTTTCAAGTTTTAACAACACTTGAACCAAAAACGCTTTTAAATATTTTAAAAGCACTTACAAACACATATACGGAGTTAGTTTTAACATTATAATCAAGGTTCTTGCAATTTGGCCATTTTGTCCCCTTTTGTGAAAACCAATATAGAGTTTATTGTTTTGGGATAATATTATATTTTGGAGTTTATTGGTGTATCTTTACTCCTTTCGTATTAATTATTTCTTGCATTTGAATATTAATACTCTACACGTAACGTGTGATAAATTGTTGTCAAAGGACGGTTTATTGCAGCATAGTTTTCGTACGTCACGTATCAGTAATAGCAAACAAAGTAATGCTAGATAAATCAAAGTTTTAGATTAAATTTGTAAATCAGATGTGTCGTTAATAGGAAATAAACACGTTAATTAATCAACACTTAAGCAATAATTCAATCATCAACAACCACATTACATAATTTGTGAAATTTGATCTAAATTGTTGGTCTCCCTAATATTATTCAACGTTTAAGGATGAGTCTGGACACTGAAATGAATCAAAATTTCAAATTAAATTTTGTAACCATATCATGGGTGGAGCCACTAAAGGACCAAAGCAGTTTCAAGCCCATCCTGATCACTATGTAAGAAATTTTTGCCAACCTTAAGCCTGTGTTGTAGAACCGTGAGACATGGGGAAGAAGATGAATTGTTCTTGTGAAAAAGTTGAATTTGACTACATCTTATATTTTTCTAATAGTTTTGTTTGCTTTGCCTTTCTAGTTTAGTGAAACTCAAGGATATGATTTTAAAATTGACTTTAATGTTACTTCTAAAACAACCTAATCAACTATTATTTGTAACCCTCCTCTTTCCCCTTGCTTTTTTCTGTCAAACGATTCAAACCAGATTTCTTTGTATTTTCCTCCTATATTTCCAATTTTTACTAGTTACGCTGCTTTCGACCTCCCACTTAATTGTATTATACACTTTTTTCATTATCTCTATTAAATTTATTGAGTCTTTCAGTTTTGTGAAGATTACATCAATTGTTCATGTTTTGATTCAAATTTCTTTTCTCAATACATATATGAAAGACCTCCTCTCACAAAGAATTCAGGCTCTACCACTAAATCACATGATGTGGTTGTTAATGATTGAATTATTATCTTACGGTTGATTAATATGCTTATTTTTTACTGGTGACATGTCATATGGTTTGCAAATTTAGTCTACCTAATGTTAGAGTATATAGGATATGGAAGGTGTGGATGAAGACACATGTCATTAGCCAAACAAATAAGGCAGTTAGGATTGTTGGTAGTGTAAGATTCGGATAAGGCAGTTAGGTGAATATATAGCAACTATATCTCTATAACTAGTGAATCAATCAAGAAAATACATGTGAAAATTCATTCTCTTTCTCTCTTTAAGTTTTCTCTGTTTCCTTCTTCTTATTCTTCTTCTTCTACAATCTCTATGTTCTCTTTTCTACATAATGCTTAACATGGTATCAATCGCCATTAAAGCTTGATCAGCTTCTTGGATCCTTTCTTTTGCTTCTACTACACGAAATTCTTTCTTCTTTTGTCTTATGGGTGTATCAAGATTACCCATCTCTTCATGGTAACTCTGATGGGGCTTCAATCTTGACCTGTACGATTGGTCTTTCCTTATCCGTATCTATACCTGCTCGAGGAGTGGATGGTTGACATCTTCCCATTCCTTCTAACTGTTGTCGTTGTTGAAAAGGCACATTTTTTTTTAATGCGCAATTTGTTGCATTTGCAGATGCATTTGTGTAAAGAATGACAAAAAAGGATGTTTGCCAAAATGATGATGATTTCATTGAGTTGAAATATATATACAACTGTGATCCTATAATCAAGGAATACAATCAAGTAAATTATTCTATACAAAGTCAACTATAATCAATTACAATCAAAGTATATTCTTAGCTGCTAATCTATCCCTAACTTTGTGGGATAGAGTTGACGTTCCAACACTCCCCCTCAAGTTGGAGAGTGTATATCTAGAACTTCCACATAGCTGAGAAAACATCATTTCCCAACGCCTTTGTGAACGCATCTACAAGTTGTTGTGTTGAAGAGACATGTTTTGTTACAACTGAACCATCTTGAATTTTGTCTCTGATAAAATGGCAACCAATCTCTATGTGTCAAGTTCGTTCATGGAAGGCTAGATTAGCAGCTATGTGTAAAGTTGTTTGGTTGTCGCAATATGGGGTTGCAAGCCCTATATGTGATAAATTTAGGTCTCTAAGAAGGTATCAAAGCCATGAAAGCTCACAACAAACACATGTCATAGCTCTATACTGGGCTTCAGCCGAAGATAATGACAATGTCTTCTGTCTCTTTGATCTCCAAGAAATTAAGGAGGATAGTAGACCTTCGAGCAATTTGGTAACATGCCCAATCCGAGTCATAGTAAGCTCTTAAAACTATTTTGTTTTGTGAGGAAAAGAAAAAACCTTGACCTAGTGTGCCTTTGAGGTACCTTAGAACACAGAGTGTTGCTTCCATATGTAGTTTACATGGCTCTTGCATGAAGTGTCACATCCCGACCCAAGGTCCACCACATCCCTGGCTCGACTCCACCGTAGCACGATATTGTCCGCTTTAGGCCCCGACCACGCCATCACGGTTTTGTTCCTGAGAACTCATACGAGAACTTCCCAGTGGGTCACCTACCATGGGACTGCTCTCGTGCGCTACTTGCTTAACTTCGGAGTTCCAATGGAACTTAAAGCCAGTAAGCTCCCAAAAGGCCTCGTGCTAGGTAGAGATGGGAATATACATATAAGGATCACTCCCCTGGGCGATGTGGGATCTTACAATCCACCCCCTTAGGGGCCCGACATCTTCGTCGGCACACCACGGTCAAGGTTAGGCTCTGATACCAAATTGTCACATCCGGCCCGAGATCCACCACATCCTGGGCTCAACTCCACCGTAGCATAATATTGTCCGTTTTGGGTCTCGACCACGCCATCACAATTTTGTTTATGGGAACTCACACAAGAACTTCCCAGTGGGTCACCCATCATGGGAGTACTCTCGCACGCTACTCGCTTAACTTCGGAGTTCCAATGGAACCCGAAGCCAGTGAGCTCCCAAAAGGCCTCGTGCTAAGTAGAGATGGGAATATACATATAAGGATCACTTCCCTAGGCAATGTGGGATCTTACATGAAGCAACTCAAGACATGCACTGAATAAATGATGTCAGGACGAGTTATCGTCAAGTAAATCAAGCGCCCCATAATTCTTCTATATTGTGATGGGTCTTTGAGTAGTTCCCCCTTTATCTGAAAGCTTCAAGTTTTGTTCCATGGGAAAGTCAATTGGCCGTGCTCCCAAGAGGCCAACATCTTTGAAGATCTCCAAAGTGTATTTTCGTTGTGAAATGGAAATACCTTTATGGGAACATGACACTTCAATTCCCATAAAATATTTCAAGTCTCCGAGATCCTTGATTCAAAAATGACTGTGCAAAAAAACTTTAAGGAAGAAATGGCAGCCAAATTATTTCTAGTGATAACAATGTCATCCATATAAATCAAAAGAGCCGTGAAAGAGCTCATTCTTTGATTAGTGAAGAATGAATAATCTGCTTTAGATTGTACAAAACCAGCAGCTCTAATGGCAGCAGAGAACATAGCAAACCATTGGTGAGAAACTTGCTTCAAATCGTACAATTACTTGTGGAGGCGACATACCAAATGCTCCTCTTGTTGCAGAAGACCAGGATGTGGTGACATATAGATTTCCTCATGAAGATCACCATGTAAGAAGGCATTATTAACATCAAGCTGATGAATGGACTGATCAAGGGCGGAGGTAATGGACAATAAGCAACGGACAATGGTCAGTTTAGCAGTGGGCGAGAAAGTGTCATGGTAATCGACACCCTCCATCTGAGTGTAACCTTCGGCCACCAAACGAGCTTTGTAGCACTCAATGGTTCTATCAGAATGGCATTTGACTTTATAAACCTATTTGTAACCAATATGAGTCTTGCCAAGAGGAAGAGGAGTGGGAGTCCAAGTGTGATTCTCGGCCAATGCATGCAACTCAGATTGCATAGCAACCTACCAGTGAGAGTGAAAAGCAACCTCGAAATAGGTACGAGGTTATACATCATGGCTAACATGATTAATATAAGCAAAATATGAGGGTGAGTAATGATGATAGGAAAGAAAATGATCCAAGGGACACCTGGTGCCTTGAATGGAGCTTGACAACGAAGAGAGCGACAGTTTGGGGGCAAGTAACATCACCTGCGAGCAAACATTGTCATTGAGTAAGCAGGTGCAGTGCAGTGCAGTGGTGCAGAAGACACCCAATAGGGGCGGAGGGTGGTTCAAGGATAGGTAGAGTGAGGTTGGGATCGACGGGAAGGATAGGAGAAGGATCAAGAGTAGTAGGATTAGGCTCGACAACATAGGGATGTGGAGAATGATCAACATCAGTGTTATGGGGTGTAGTAGGAGATGGAGAAAATGGCTAGGAAGGTGAGGAAGAGTGGGACAATGTAAGGTAGGAGTAAGAGTGAGAGGTTGAGGTTGATTAGAAGTGAGGAGGGGTGCCGTGTTTGAAGGAGGCAATGTTTGAAAAGGATAGGTATTTTCATGAAAAATAACATCTAGGCTTGTGAAGATTTGTTTAGAGGCCAATTCATATAGTTTGTAGGCTTTGTGTTTCACTTTTCTGGTGCATAAGAAAAACCCATGTAAACCTAGAATAATCATCTACCACAGTTAAAAAAATATTTAGCTCCAGAAAGGGATTTGATTTTGAAGGGACCCCAAATGTCACAATGAATAAGTTCAAAAGAGTTCTTAGTATTAATCGAACTAGTGCCAAAAGAAAGGCGATGTTGCTTGGCCAATGGGCATACATTACAAGCCTTATTCAAATGAAAAGGAAAATGTAACAAATGTTTTTCCATAAACTTCAATCTAGAAGGTGATAGGTGACCCAAATGACGGTGTCATAACTCGGTGAAGGAGGTGACAAAGTGGCAGAAAGGTTGGACAGAGGGCTACAGTGTTGCTAAAACTAAGGCCACCAAATAATAGAGTCATCCACACCGTTTACCCAAACCAATCGTTTTCAGTGTGTCATCCACAAAACCCAACTTGTTCTTCACGTTTAGGGAAAGCTTCACAGAACTACACCAAATGGCGTAGTTGTCTCCATTGAGAAGCTTGGAGACAAAAACCATTACCAGATGGTCGACATGATGGACAAAATAGGGATTGGAAGCATCAGGCTTACTTCCAATAGAGGTTTGCCCGTTGGCCATGGCTAAAGGTAGGCAACGACGAAGAAAAAAGGCAGCGGAAAGAAAAAACTAGGGTTTATTGTTTGCCCTAGCTTGCAATACCATGTAAAGAATGACAAAAAATGATGTTTGCCAGAATGATGATTTCATTCATTAAGTTGAAATATATATACAACTATGATCCTATAATCAAGGAATACAATTAAGTAAATTATTCTATACAAAGTCAACTATAATAAATTACAATCAAAGTATATTCTTGGCTGCTAATCTATCCCTAACTTTATGGGATAAAGTAGACGTTCCAACAATTTGTCGAGACATCTGTTGGTTCATTGTTGGGGTAGTCGAATGAGATTATGGTGATGTGGCTGCAACTGAGACTGGATTCCGTGAATTTGCTGCTGAGTTTGTTGAAAATTCCTGAAGCCGTCTTTGACTTACTCCACTAGAGAGCCAAAATTACCATATCCTATAGTTTGAAGGAACATCTTTAGTAGTTCAAGCGCTGAGCACTGCTTTCTGTAAGTATCATCAAGAAGTTTCAAGAACCAATTATAAAATTCAGACAGATTTCTCTCTGATACAATCTCTATGTTCGCTCTGAAAGTTTGTGCACACCAGGTGTTTGAGTCTTTTCCTCATACAGATTTCTCTACAATTTTCCGAAATGGTAACTGTGAATCAACTTCAAATCTTACAATCACCAATCACTGGATTGATTTCATCCGTTTCCACGTCTATTACTGTGAAACTGGATGAGACCAACTATCTACAATGTCATTTTCAGATGCAATTGATGCTTAAAGTCCATGGACTTATGGGGTTCGTTGACGAATCAAGTCTTTGTCTTGCTCAGTTTTCGTCTTCTTCAAGAGATTCAGAGGTAACATTTGGTACTTCATCTTCAAGAATTGAAACTGATGAGTACAAAATCTAGAAAATGCATGATCATTGCTTGATGTTGTTACATACTACCACACTTTCTTTATCCACTATTTCCTATGTGATTGGTAGCAAGAGTTTTCAAGAGATATGGGTTCGTCTTCAAAACGAGTTTTTCTTACCAAGTACAAAAACCAGTATAATCAAATTACAGACTAATCTTTACAACATTAAGAAGGGATCAAATTCAATTTCCCAGTATCTTCAAAGAATTAAAGAAGCAAGGGATGGACTTTCTATTCTTGGTGTCACACTTGCTGATGAAGACTTTGTGATCATTGCATTGAATAGACTCCCTCCAAATTATAACACATTTAAATGTGTCCTCAGAGGGCGTGAGAGCATCATTTCACTTAAGTACTTTTGTGCACAATTGCTCACTGAGGAAGCCATTGTGGATTGTGCTCTTGTTGAATGTGAGACAAAGGGTTCTTTCTTTCCTCTCTTTAGCTCTCAATTTCATGCTAGCTTCCATGGTGGCTATCATGCTTAATCCAATTTTAGTTCATGCCAGTCAAGCTATGTTAATAATGTTGATAGTTATAATGGAATTCTTGGCACACCTCCATCTCCATATCCTAGTTCTCTGCCACCTGAAATTACTACATGACAAATTTGTTCACATAAAGATCATCTTGCTGCCCAGTGTTATACTCAAACTACCAACTCATCTATTACACAAGATCCAAACTTGCAAGATCAGGTTCGATTTTCTGATCCAATGGAGTCAATTGAGACGGATTCTGTTATGGTCAATTCTTTCTCTCATTACCTTGGATCTTCCCTGCCACTTAATTCCACAACAAGAGCTTCTAGCAGTGCTTCAAAGCAGAACGATCGTGATACAATAATTATAATGAAAACCGAGGAGCAACCAACTAGTTCTGTTGGTGCAGAAACTTCACAAACTAGCGGATCACATCAAATTTGTTCACAGAAAGATCATTTTGATGTTGATTGTTATCACATACATAATGCTCAATCTTCAGTTTCAACCCCTGAATCATGTCAATGCACATTGGATCAACAACTTAAACTAGTGTGTCCAGTCATCCTGCAAAATCACGAAACACCTTTACAAAGCAATTCTAATGTTAAAAGTCATACAGCTTATGATCACCAGTCTGGCTTTCTCTCTCACTTCATTGTTTCAGAAGATGAAATGTTTTTAGATGATGCAAAAAAACAAGTTTTGGAATGTATTGACAAGGAAAGTGCAGATTCTCAGTTGATTTCAGTGGGTTTACAATCGTGTGTTCCTACTCAAACTTTTGTACATGAGTTCCGAGGATTTTATGTACTTCAGTTATGCAATGGTGGAAGTATATTTGATATTCAGTTAGGCTACCATATGAGAATTTTTGATAAGGGTGGGGGCACCAAGTCTACGTTGATTAGGGTACTATGGTATACATGATATAATGGTAAAATACAAGCTCCAGATGCCAGGAGGTTTTCTTATTGCAAGGTATGTGTGCAACAATGACCAAATACTCCACTCTCCCAATTGCAAGGAATACTATCCAAAAAGAGTTTAGACTGTCAAATACACTCCAACTGCAACAATCTCATGCTTGTACCACCATGAGCTTGCAGGGGGATGTTAGAGTATATAGGATATGGAAGGTGTGGATCATGACACATGTCATTAGCCAAACATATAAGGTAGTTAGGATTGTTGCTAATGTAAGATTCGGATAAGGTAGTTAGGTGAATATCCATCCATATAGCAACTGTATCTCTGTAACTAATGAATCAATCAAGAAAATAAAAGTGAACAATCATTCTCTTTCTCTCTCTAAGTATTCTCTGTTTCCTTCTTCTTCTACAATCTCTCTGTTCTCTTTTCTACATAATGCTTAACACCTAGCATTACACACTCTAATTAGATACAGAGATTACCATGGCTTTTGAAAGAAAAAAAAAAATTGAACTTTTTGGAATCAAGTAATAACTATTTTTGGGGTTCTTGGCATCACATCAAATACATATATTGAATTGTGAGACTTGCTACTAACTTCAGCACTGATATTCCTCCTCCAAATGACAGGATTTGGCAGAGTTCACCAAATCGATTGTTAAGCAGATTGCTGTGGATTTGATGAGTATACGTGATTTGGGAGTGCGAAAAATAGCAGTGACAGCACTAGAGCCCATGGGATGTCTGCCGCTCTTAACTTCCTTCCTTTCTTATCAGAACTGCAGTGAAACGCTCAACTTGGCGTCGATGTTCCACAACCAAGTTTTGCGCCAAAACATGGAACAGTTAAATAAGGAGTCTAACAAATCTGCATTTGTAATCTTGGATCTCTATGGCGCATTTTTGTCTGCAATTAAGCCCCAGAAAGATCATCAAGGTACGTAATTGCGTTGAATGGTTGCTGTTATTGACACTCGATCCACTCCATAAAAGTCATCATGCGAAAAAACACAACGAAAAATTGAACAGAAAGGAATGCATGCAGGATGACATTTTTAACAATGCATGATATACGAACCACCAACTAGCTGACCATCTCTTTAGTTCCTCTATTTAACATCAAGTAGCTGTTAATTGTCTGGTACTGGAATGCGTGCACTCGGCAACGTATCATCTACATGTATAGTAAGATTATATATTTTTTGATATCTTGTAACTGAAATAAATATTGGTTAATATCTCAGTTGCTGCATAATCTATGCATTCTATGATATGCTTGTTTATGAGAATTCAAGTAGTTGATCGAGCGCATGCTTTCTTGGTATAGCAGGGAAAATGACGGTCCAGATTGATGATCCACTGAAACCGTGCTGTGTCGGGGTGAGCAGCGAATACTCATGTGGGAGTGTGGACCAGAGTACCGGAGCAAAGAAGTACGGCATATGCAGTAATCCTGAGAGGTCTTTCTTTTGGGACACGGTGCACCTCTCTCAGAATGGTTGGCATGCTGTTTATTGCTCTTTGAAATCTTCTCTTCATCAATTGTATTCGTGATTTGTTCATGCATAAGTACGTAGTTGTCAACTTTGTTTGGCCCTACTGGCTTTGGATCGCATGGAAATTGCCCAATATTTTCTTGGGATTGCATGAAGCTAGCTAAGGCCCTAATAAACAAATAAAACTATGTACTGGGATGAAAATTTCATAGAGTTGTTTACATGTTAAGGATATGAACGGAATTGATCTCAATAAAACCTCAATCAGAGCTAGGGCTGTAAATCGGCTCAAAAAAGTTCGACCTCGCATCAGGTTCAGCTCGATTAAGAAAGAAACGAAGCTTGAGCATTAGTGTGTTAAGCCGCAAAGCTCGTGAGCAGCTCGAAACAGTTCGAATTCAGTATCAGACTCGAATTTTTCAAGCTCTCTCAAGCTCAATTCGCATAAGAACCGAGTATAGCTTGAGCTCGAAAAGAAAATTAAACAAACTAAACTTTGAGCGCAAATGGCTCGGCTCATTCAACTGCCACTAATTAAGACTGCAAATAGGCAAGCATTTCTGTACGAATTGACATGATAATATGACATTATGTCATCATTTGAAATCTTCGTGCAATAGAACAATAAGAATTTAAGGGGTTAAAAAAAGAATCCATCACGATTTAAAATCTATTTACAAAAAAAAATTCCTCCAGTGTTTTCAAGTTTTGTAAATGTTGGGTTGAATATTTTTCATTGGCGTGCAAACAATTGTATTGTGTGATGTAGAAATTCAAGTCAAATTCAATGCCGACATCCATAAAACTTGAAGATGGTGTCGTGCTTCTTAACTACACTACAAGATTATTATTAAAAGACCTAAAGTTTATGCTCCACCAGAGGGACAACAAAGTCATTGACAGTGTCAGAGAAGAGGCCTGGTGCCAACCGTGGGGAGGGAGGGGAAGGCTGCTGTAGGGTTTAGGGTTAGGATCGGCTAGGCTACAAGAATATTGTTCAAAATGTCACAAATGTTATTATGCTCATTTGTTTTGTTCTTCCACCCCTTTTTCATTATTTCCAGAGAGTAGTATTGTTTCAATAGAGCACTATATACACAATCACTCCATATGCATATATATATATATATATATATATGTATGTATGTATTACTGCTCCATAGGCAACAATTTTTTCTTTGAATAGCATACGTAAGTGCAGTTGCTCCTTTTTATGTTAAACTACTTCAAACATAAAAAAGTTGAGATTTCATCAAAAAACTAATTGACAGTATAATGAGTAGCTCAATTACTTATAAGTACATGCAAGGTCGCTACTTTCCCCGATGCGGGATTAATACTCTTAACACATCCCCTTACGTGTGACAAATTATCAAACCTAGCACGTGAAAAGCACATATCTGAGTGATGTGGAGCACGTGTGACCTATGGGTTCCACACACGAGGACAACCTTCTCTAATTGGTTTTATGGTGGAACCTCAACATTCTCCATGGTATCAGTGTTGTTGTCCCATATGAGAAGCTCAACGGCCACATGTGCCCTACTTCATCCCGATTTGTGTTGTCTACGTGTTAGGCTTGAAAATTCGTCACATTCAAGGAGCGTGTTAGGAGTACAATCCCACATCGGAAAAAGAAGAAACATTGCATGTGCTTATAAGTAATTGAGCTACTCTCAATACTACCAATTGGTTTTACGATGAAACCTTAACTTCTTCAAATACTTGGTCGTGCTTTATTGAAACTTGATCAACGAGCCACCACAGCATGACTTTGTTTGGGAATTTCAGCCTTGTTACTTGCCGATCCAAATCCAGGTAACTGCTGCTTCTCGCTGCGACCACCGTGCTCACTCTCTTCGTCGATGGTCTCCAATCTTTTTCCGAAAGTAGGCCTCCGCTTCTGTGGTGCTGCTTCAGAGCCCTGCAAAGTTACGACACTTGATGGCCTTGACATGTCTCTCTTCCTCTCAATAACTTCACCACCTATCTAGCTGGATGTTTTCTCTCATCAACTCTTGGTGAATAAGCAGAACATGCAGACCGTTTTATAAGGAGAGAAAGCACGCATCCAACTGCACTTGGATATATGCGTCATGCGTCGACATATATTCTGCACTAATTCATTTAACTACTCATATATTGTACTGAATCATATATGGTGCCTCAATTTGCTGGTCAAATTGGAAGGTCCTGATGCTATGCATTACTAGTACGTTAGGCAAATTGGCCATTGATATTAAACTACCAGCTATTGGATGTGCACAGTTATGCATTTCTGTAAGATCATGATATTCTCGCTGATCAACTGAGAACCATAATCGACTGTTCATTATTCGTGATGCATGCACACTGAAAGAATCCATAAGAGATCAGTATTCTCATTGGCTTTAGGCTCCCACTTATTAGATGGATCAAGGAATTGAATCTGTTCTTTCTACTTTTTATTGATTTTTTCATTGTGGGAGGGGGGTTTGAATAATATATGACAAAAAACATAAAAAGGTGGAGATTTAGTGCAGATCATCGGTTTTCACAGAAATATCAACAACTCAATTTACGAATATATCGACGGATATTGTGACAAGATTTTTTATATAAAATTACGTAATTTGTAAAAAATACTATTGATAAACCCTGTGCTGTCAGGATTCTATGAATTATTATTTTTCTGTTTTTATTTTTAGCTGGAACAAATGTCATTAAACCATGCCACGTACAAAATGTAAACAAATCATGCAACGCTCTGTTTGACTAAAAGGCAGTTCTCTCAAACGACACTGCAAAAAAATAGGGTTGTAACCTTCTTCGCGAGGGTGACTCTGCAAGTCACGCCAATGCCATTTTTTAGCAAGAAAATCGCATATCTTTCTCCTTTTCAATGCACGATGTCTGGGTAATTCATATATTTTGTGGATATATCAAAATATCTGCCGATATCGTCAATTTTGATAAAAATTCGTCAATATCCTTGATGGGGGATAGAAATGCTTTACCCTCCCCCCATTTTTCAGGTTTTATATTTGGGAGGACGGCAAGTCTCTTTTCAATCTTTATATATTAGGAATTCACTTGGAAACTTCTTGAAATGGTTCAAGTTTTTATGAGTAATGCTACACTTACCACATTTGTACCGCCTCTCTCATAAAAGTAGCGTCTATCAACACGTGTGTCTCATCTATATGAGTAATGCTACAATTACCACCTAATTATACCGTCATTTTAATAGAGGTAGGGCCCGCCAACGCATATTGATTCTATCTCTATTAAGCGAATTTTCAAACCTAACAAGTCGATAACACAACTGGATGATGTGGAGCATGTGTGACCATTTGGCTTCACATGTGTGACAACCTGCTTTGATACCATGAAGAAAGTTGAGGTTCCACCATAAAACTAATTTGCAGTACGGGGATTAACTCAACCTACTTATAAGTCCATGTAAGGTCTCTTCCCCTGTCAATGTGGAATTCATTCTTCACTTTACAAACTAGAATTTTTATAATCTAACAGTTAAAGGCTTTAATGTCGGAAGTTGCACCAAATTTAGTATACTCGTTGGATTTGATGAATGCGTTCAAAACAATATTATTGGGCCATCTCAAGGAGCTGAAAGAAAAATATAAAATCGAAAACTTATTCCCGATCAATATGTAGCCAAATATATATGATTCAAAGAGCTAGGATTTAATTATCTCAAGGATAACAAACATATATAATATCCACATAGTTTTGGCTGGGAGTTTACATGGACGATTGCAGGCATCCGATACTCTAGCGTCTTCCGGACCCAGGTTGAGCAATACCAATGAGATCACGGCCCTCCAAAGTCATTGGCCATGCTTAAGCTAGAATTGGTGTAGGCCTTACAAATCCAGCTTAAATTCTTCGATATCAAGAGAAATCATTCTATAAATATATGTAGATAACTTCCAACATAGAATAACCATCACATATATGATATATGTAATATATTATAACAAATAATTAAGAAAAGAAGAAGAAACGTACGTACTTGGAAACAGAGTACGACCGAAAGTCCTGGTGGGTTTTGGAACATTACGACTCAAGGGTATTTGAAACTGTAAATTGGAGAAAGGAGAAAAATGTGCTTCTTCCAGGTGAACATATCAAAAGACGCAAGTAATTCCAATGGCCGTATAATTTGAAAGTAATGCCTGTTATTTCCTTTGTAAGGGTGAGCTTGGAGAAGATGAAACTTAAAGGAGTTTGAGGACAGTAGGAGAGTTAAGTGAAAAGAGAGAAGTTTTGATTTGTAGTAGGTAATTTGGATGCCCATATAATTTGAAAGTGATGCCTATTATTTTCTTCATTATATTGGACCGCTAAGAAATTGTGGCAGATTTGCCATATAAAGTTTTGTAAGCTTCCCAATTTCAGCCCAAGGCTTTTGATTTTCTCTAAAAGAGCTTGTTTCCCATCTCCTTTTCTTCGAAATTCCCATTCTGCTGCATCTCCATAGCTGCCTCATATCCGGACTTAACAGTATGAAGTCCCTTCTTGTTGGAATGCCAAACTTAACTTAATTATCTGCATGTACAACCAAATTTACTGAGTGGTAGACCCAAAATGGCGTTAGCTCCGGCTGAAACAGTACAGCTTGTCTCCATTCCTTCGTATCCTAATTAATCAGATCAGCCGCTATCATGCATGGGAACTTCAGGATTTGCAGTTTGAACTCTGAATGTCCTTAAGCTTGGTAGCCAAGGATCATCTCGAACTGCACCATCTCTCCAATGCAAACCAGCCTTCAAAACTTGTCGTGCTTGTATAATACCCTTTCAACCCCACGATGATTCCCTCTGAAACTAACATTCATAAATTCCGCATTCAGGAAGTACTTATCATTTTAAACTCGAGCCAGCAGTGAATCAGGACATTTAACCAAATCTCCATCCAATTTTAGCAACCAAGGCAAGATTAAAATGCATGAGATATTGGAATCCCAATCCCTATCTTTCTTTGGTCTAGCCAATTTGGATACTTTCATATCAGTTGCTTTTGTCCACTCCATCAGAATTTTGCCAACACTCTTTCAATCTCTTACAGACATTCACCGGAAACTTATAGCAAGACATAGC